GGAAATTTGTCAAAATTTCTTTCCAAGGGTCATTTCCCGGAATAACCTTCTTCTAAGAACTATAACTTTCCTTTATTTCTATATCATATTCTACCCTTAGTTCGTCAAGATATGAATTTCTAATGATCAATGTTTTGTTGTAGCTGTGCAAAAATGGTAAAGCGTTACCCTGTCCTGCTAATACGTACGTAAAGTGTAACACAACGGTAAGTCACGGCATCTCACCTTATATGGCAGAGGCTCTTCCTCTTAAACTTAGGAGCGGTTGGGGCCGAGATAGATTGGAGAGAGAGGAATGGGAAGAGCGTTGTCCCAATCTCCCCGACCGTTCCCACCCGATCGTAGTTTTTTAATTTTTTTTTTTTTTTTTTTTTTCTGGCTGTTTTCAGTGGTGTCCAGAGAAATGTTACCCATGCGAGAAAGGAACAGTGTGTTTTGAAGGCAAGAAGTATGATTGTATGCCAGGAACCTACAGTGATGGAACAGGTAAGGAATATTCTAATGCATTCTTTATTCTATTAAATCCCATTACACAGAGAGCGACTACAAGTGCTAYCATTGTGATCGGTACTTCCGTGCCCATTCCATTGGACTGAACATTCCGGACGCACGGGAGACAATCAACTTCATAGTCATCGCTTCTCTGGACGAACAACACAATTCCATCCCATTTATACTATATTTCAATTTCCATCCCATTTTATTGCATTTCATTCGTTCAAATGTATTCCTTCTATTTCATATTCCACTCTTCTTGTTCACACAGGGTTCCCATGCAAGTTATGTCCCCCAGGAAGCTATAATAACCAAACGCGAGCCGAGACGTGCCACTGTTGTCCTGATGGTTACAGTAGCACAGTCATGAAAACCTCATGTAAGGCGTGTATCGCCAAGGAACGTGCTTTCCATCTAACCTTCCCAAACTGTTCATTCTGTCAGACGTGTTCAAGTGAAGCAGAATGTAAGTAGAATACTTTCCCATCTTTTTTATTCTTCTTCCTGAAATTTTCTCTTTGTTAGTGCTTATAGAACCCGGTGTACTCCGGACGGTACATGCCGACGCCGGGCGTCAGTTAGCAAGCTTATCTTTGGTGGTACAGTTCTTGCTTCGAGTTTTCAGGCGATTTCAAAAATTAAATGTATTTTTCCTTGCCCTTCTGAAGAGCTAGTCAACTCAGTGTAAAGAATATGTGTTTGAAAGTTAATTCTTTAAGGTTATTCTGTGGGACAA